TTTCTTGACTTGGAGTCAAATTGAATCGCTGGACCAAATACAGTCTGAACATGCTCTGAATAGACTTTCTCAAAGAACTATCAATAAAGGAGGGAACATTGCCCCAAATGAGAAGCTCGAACAGCACCTTAAAAATCACTGTATGCTCTTTTCCTTTCCATTAGAGTCAGGGAAGGAACCAGAGAGCTCCCACTGTCTGAGGCCAGTACAGGATGGACGCAACAGGTGCAAATGCCCAAAGAAAAAGACCACATACACATGTGTTTCCAATCCATTCATTTGCATTCAAAGGTCAGGAAGTCCTGTTCATTTGCTCCGTGGCCGAAGCTTAGGATGCCGTGGCGGTGGATGAGTCAGGAGAGTCCTACGCTTCCAGGCATCCCGGGCATTGCACGAGGACTGACCAACATGGTAAGGGGTGGAATGAGAAACAGGGATGCCTCAAGAGGGACAAGGGCTTGACCTTAGCCCAGGGGTCTGGGGAGGCCTCTAGGAAGAGGATGTTTCACCTTAGGCCTGAAGGAAGTAGAAGCTGTCCTCCAGAAACACAAGAGGAGGGAGCCACAAGCAGGAGTGGTTAGTGCAAAGGTCCTGAGGTGGAAAAACATCTGGTAGCTTTGAGGGCCTGAAAGGAGCCAGGCTTCTGTGACATGCCAAGAAAGGCCCAGGGCCTCATCTGCTCTGCCTTATATCTGGACCCCGTCTTAGGCTGTCAGCAGTCAGCAGGCCTTTCTGACTTCTGCTCCACAGCCTTCCCCACTTAAGGTCCACTGAGTGGTGGCTGTCTACCAGGCCTATGCCAGGTGCTGCAGGTTTACAGAATAAGACAGCACCCTGTTCTCAGGAAGACAGACTAACCTTCAGAGGGTGGTAGCCGTGATATGGATATGCCCGAGATATTCTGGAAACACACCGGGGAGAGAGCAGATCCAGTGTGGAGTGGGATGGTGAGTGCTTCATGGAAGGCGTGTCAGGAGAAGGTGGGGGCTGAGCTGAGTCTCAAAGAAATCAGGTACAGGGGTTAGCCAGGGAAGCAGAGGAGAGGGCGTTTGTAGTAGGAGAACACGCGTGCACAGTTGCACACAGAAAGCAGGTGGGGTTTGGAGGGCACACAGCCCAGCTGGGGCTCCAGTCTAAGGGGAGACGGTAGGAAGTAAGAAGTGGAAAGGCCACCAGACCCAGGGCCGCAGATCCTCGCATGCCGAGCTGGGGTGTTGGAATTATGCTCAAGGCCATGGGGAGTCATGGGAGGGCCCTCAGCAGAGGAAGGCTGGAGCAGATGCAAGGTTTCAGAAGCTCACTGTGGCAGTGGCTGGAGGCTAGACAGGGGATGGGGCAGAGCGTCTCTGTCACCCTGATGCAGGCAGGCAGTGGTACAGACCTGAGCTCAGCCATAGAGAGGTCAGAGAGGGTGGGCGTCAGGGCCACGGAGGAGATGGCTGATGGCATGAGGCCTGGAGCAGAGAGAGGAATCAGACCACACCCAGGGTCTGGCTTGGGTGACTGGCTGGGTGGGGAAAGAGGAATACTTTGGGAGTTACAGAGTTCAAGGGACGTGTCACATTACAGATGACGTGGGGCCTCTCAGGTGGCGGTGTTGAGTAAAGAAAGGTGTGTGAGGTCTGAGTGGGAGATGGGATGTGGTGCTTGTGAGCAGAGAGGCGTGGGCGTGGTTGGGACAGGGGGGCCGTGAGGGCCCTGAGAAACCTGGCACGGAAGGCCACACGGGGGAGGAAGCACCGAGGAGGGAGAGCGGAATAGCAGAGAAGGGGAGAAGAGCTGAGCGGGGGTGGGCTTCTAGAAGGCAGGGCCGCAGCTGCAGGCCATGGGGCAGGAGTCCGCTGACCCAGGACTTTGCTGCTCAGGCAAGGCCCGTGGGGAGGGAGGGCTTGGCTGGGAGAGCCTTGAGGAGAGGGAGCTGTGAGGCCGGAGAGAGACGCAGCGCCCCGGAGCCTGAGGCCTGGAGGCCTTCCCTGACAGCTGCCTGGCACACGGCTCCCTCCCCAGGCTCTCATCGTAGCCTCCCTGTGGGCAACCCAAACCGCCTCCTCTCTTTCAGCTCCCAAGAGCAGAGACTGGCCCATAGTTGGGGCTCAGGGAAGTCGTCCCCTGAAAAGGCGAAGGAGAGGTGGGAAGTGGGCCGCTGGTGGTCAGAGTTTAGCAGCCCATCCCACGTGCGTACCCCACGGCAGCGGGAAGTGTTCCAGGAGGGTACCTCTCGGAAAGAGTTGAGGGAGAAAGGAAATGGGGATTTTTCTGGCCCTAACAACCCAGGGAGCTGACCCCTCTGTGCCTCAGTTTCCCTACCCGCTCCCTCCCAAGGGTAGAATATAAATGTGCATGGCAGCATTCCAAATGCTCCCAAGCAGGGAAGCCGGGAGTCGGCCACAGACCAGACCTCCCTCCCCAGAGTGAGCATTCTGCCAGGTCCCCCAGCCTAGTGGTCTGGGATGCTCCAGGACTGCCCCTTGACTGCCACTAGACCTGTGTCCTCCCCCTGCCTGTCGGGTGAGGTGCCTCATGCGCAGATTGGTGGCACACATTTGGGAATGGAGCACAGTGGTGTATTCTGGAAAGGAGCCCACACCTTCCATTCTGCTGCACTCATTAGCAGTTTAAGCAGTAGCTCTCGGGGCCACTGCCTGCCAACTCAGGACCTTCCAGTTACTGCTGACACGGGACTGAGGAATGACAATCGGCCTGGGGGTCCTCCAAGAGAGCGGGCCTTCCCACCTGTTGACTTGCTCAGTGATGAACTCACAGAAGGGCCACTCTTGGGAGACCTTTCATTGCTTAGAACTGTCCCAGCACATACCCCAGACCTGGTAGGTGGGGCACAGCTTGGGGGTCAGTGCTGATGGTGAGCCCCGACTCCTCAGCAGGCTTCTAGGCCCTTCTCAGCAAGCCCCAGTGGTCAGACTTCGTCTTGCTTTGGAAGGAGATGGCCTGGGTGAGCTGATATGGACGTGTCAGCGGGAGAGAGCAGGCCCAGCAGAGGCCCCTTCTTCTAGACCATACCCTCACGATGTGGGGGTGCCAAGGCTGGTGTCCCGCTGGAAATTAGCATCAAATCACCTTCCTTCTTGGAAGGAGGTCAGGGAACTCCCATTGCGCCAAAAGCACCTCCACACAGCCACGCCATGTGCCCCAGTGAGCGTGGACCTCTGGCTGGGTCCTGGCTGGGTACAGAGCCTACCTACAAAGAGGATATCTGAGGGACAGAGCACTACCCCTCGGCCTCCCTGGGTGTCCCAGGGCAGACAGTGTAGGCTGAGCCTGGATCTGAGGGGAGCTAGGCCCCTGGAAAGCTGTACCTGAAAATTAGACATGACCCTGAATGTCCAGCTGCTTGCTTGCTTGGGTGCTGAGTGGGAAATGACGGGGATGGCAGTTAGCATCAGCTCCCAGGGCTGGGAGACGGAAGAGAAGGCCCACAGCTGATTGGAATCAGTGCTGTCAGAGCGGTGTCAGGTGAACACAGGGTCCCACTGGGGAAACCATCGGTAGGGCACATATTTATGTTATGTAAGTGTGGGGTCTAGCTGGGCAAGTCTGAAACCTGGAGCACAGGCTGCAAGGCTGGAGATATCCAGGCAGGAGTTGGCGCTGCATTCCACAGGCAAAATTTTTTTTCCCTGGGGGAAGCCTCCATTTTGCTCTTTTAAAAAATTTTTTTAATTCTTAAAATTTTTTTTAATTTTATTTTTTGAGAGAACGTGCATCAGCGAGAGAGAACAAGCAAGGGGGAGCAGCAGAGGCAGAGGGAGAAGCAGACTCCCCACTGAGCAGGGAGCCTGATGTGGGGCTCGATCTCAGGCCCCTGAAATCATGGCCTGAGCCAAAGGCAGCAACTTAACTGACTGAGCCACCCAGGCGCTCCTAATTTTTTTTTTTTTAAGTATTTTTAAGTAACCTCTCCACCCAACAGGGGGCTCAAACTCAAGACCCGAGATCAAGAGTCGCATGCTCTTCCCCCTGAGCCAGGCAGGTGTCCCTCCGTTTTGCTCTTTCGGCCTTTCAGCGGATTGGGTGGGACCCACTCAGGAGATCAAGGATAAGCTCCCATACTTAAAGTCACCTGGTTTGGGCTGTGAACCGTATCTATAGAAATACCTTCTCAGCAACACCTAGGTTAGTGTTTGATGGAATCACTGGTACTGTCGCACCGCCGAGTGGACACACAGACCTGACCCGCGGCGGGGCTGATAGGAACGGCTGCTCATAGCCGCTATGCGGAGGAAGTGGAACCCTGCACAGCGCCCCGGGCACAGACTCTGGCCTGAAGACCTCCAGAGAGCGAGTATTCATTTAGAGCTGACTTGGAGTCTACCTTTGGGCTAGGGGCTTTCCGCACACTCCGAGTTATTCTTGGATTGGGTTCTGCAGCCTGGGGCTAGCCAGAGAAGCATGCAGGCTGTGGCCGAGAAAGAGTTCCTAACCTCCAAAAAGGACCTGCAAAACTGTGTGTCCTGTGTCTTTCATGGTCAAACTGTCTCCTAGCTTTCAATCAGCCCCTCGGAAAACGAGGGGCTTGTTGCCACGCTGTTCGCTGCGCCTTCAGTTAGCGTTCCTTCGGCGCTGTTTTATGATCCTATCACAGCGAGCTCTTGGTGTTTCTGATCCCGTTCTTGCCGACTCGGGATAAAGCCTCCCTTTCTACCTCTTGTGATGAACTTTGCAAAACTCTCCCTGACATCCCTTGCCGTGTCCCGGAGGAAATGTGGACAAGGCAGGGCCGGCATCTTTGCCTCAAGGCCTGGAGAGAGGGTGTGAGGTGGCCAGGCGTGGGCGCCGGGGCGGGGGGGGGGGGCGGCGAGGGAATGCGGCGCCCCGGGCCCCAGTGTCCCCGAGCGGCGCGGTGCGGCGCCTTTAAGGTCCGCTGGGGGCGTGCTAGCCGCGGCCGCGGGCGCTCGGAGAGGTGAGAGCGCGGCGGCTTGCGGGCCGGGCGGCGCGGAGACCCGGCTCGCGGTAGGAGCTGCGGCGCGCTCGAGGCTCCCACCTCCTTCCCCGACACGCGGGCCCGCGGGCCACACGCCGCTAACTCAGACTGGGCACCGACCCGGCTCCAGGAGCGCGGGGCGCCGCGGCTCCGACCATGGGCAGCTTTCAGCTGGACTACTTCGCGGCGGGCTGGATCGGAGGTGAGCCCAGCCCTGGATGGGAGGGAGCCTCCCGGGAGGTGAGTGTGCTCGCGGGAGGCGCCCGGGCGCGGGAGAAAAAGGGAGACCCGGCCGAGTTTACAGACCGTGCCGTGGTGGGTCTGGGAGCCCCGCACCCGTGCGCCTCCACCACGCGCGCAGCGTGCGCGCCGCCTGCCACCGGAGTGCCCCGCTGCCCCTCGCCCGCTGGCCGGCCAGCGTCGCGGGTTCCCCCGGAGCTGCGGCTTTGCCTCCGAGGGAGGACCCGGCGAACTGGCCCTGGTAACTATTAAACCGGCCGTCGAAGCCAACAGCCAATGGAGCGCCCAGGCACGCACACACCCTTCAGAGCCCGGCTGTGCGCCTGAGTGTGGGGACGCGGCTGCAAGAACTTGTGGGTGAGGGTGACGACTGTCCAGGGGGAAGGATGGGGAGCCCGGCTTCGCGGTCAGGCCTGCCCTAGGGGGCACCCTGGCTGGAGGGTGCGGGGCGCGCCGAGCTGGCAGCCCAGCGCCTGGCTGCAGGTGCCCATTGCCAGATAGGAGGAACCCTTCCTGTTTTCAGCCTTTATCGACTGTCACTTCTCCCCGCACTCTTGGACCCGCTCCCCCCTTGGGGCCGCTCCTGGAGCCGCTGTCTGCTGGGCCCGGGATGGGTCCGCTTGGGCAAGAGTTGCATCCATTTCCTTGCTTCTCTGATCTCTTTACAGTAGGTTTATTTCTCTACTTCTGTCAGCTACTGACAGGATGTGGGGAGGGTTTGAGAAGCACTAGCACGTACTGTAAAATATTATCTTTCTTTTGGCCACATCTAAGAGAATCATCAGAAAAGGGATGTTGGCAAATGCAACCCCTGCCTGAAGTCACAACCAAAAACAAAACCAAAAACTCGAGGTGCTGAGACAGAGGCTATAATTAGTATGTTTGTACCCCACCAAGTATTCTGGGAATGAAGACCAGATTTATAGGAAAATGAAAATGAAACAAATAAAAAGAGCAACAGACCAGATAGCATTCCAGGATCCCTTTCTGAGGGCTGCTCCCGCCTCTGTCCCCCAGCAGGTGGCTGCAGGGCTCCTGCTGCTGGCTGTCATGAGCAGAGGAGGTCCCTTTCACCATAAGCAGTTATTTTGCACAGGCTTTCTAGACCTTCCTCTCCTAACTTTACCATGGCGGGGGGGGGGGGTAGTGTGCTGTACCCAGAGCCCCACTAGCCATGTTCAGGCCCTCTTTGGGCAACCATCAGCCATTCTGGGGGAGAGCCTTCCCTACTTAAGGCTGTCCCCTTACGTAGCCAGACCAACTTCAGTAGGGCTGTCCCTGGCTGGGTTTGAGGGTAAGGCTGTCTGAGTAACTGCAGGTCTCTGATGACTCCGGGGCCCTCCCCAAGTCACACAGTAAGTAGTGGATTGTCCTTTATTCTACGATCGTCCTCATTTTGTTCATGTTAACATTTTGTTGTTGTCTTTTGGTTTGGGAGTTTTCTTGCTTCCATGAAGTGAGGATGAGTGTCGTAACTGAATACTCAGTTGGTAGCAAGTGCTGTTGAAGTGCCACAGGTATTTTTAAAACAACTTCACTGAGGCTATTTTATGCATCATAAGATATACCCATTTCAAGTATACAATTCGGTAATTTTTAGCAACCTTACCAGTGTTTCAGCTATTTCCATAAATTTGTTCTAGCACATTTTCTTCCCCAGTAAGATCCTTCATGCCCATTCACAGTTAAATTCCATCTCCTCCTCCTCCCTCTGGGCAAACATGAATCTACTTTCTGGCTCTATAAATTAACCTTGGTCTCATGTCTATTGATGTATATTTCTTTGTAGCCCCAGGGAGATAGCTACAATTATTACATCCTCATGTTACGGATGAGGAACTGGGTACACAGAGACATTCAGTGACTTGCTCAAGGCCATGCATCGAGCTTGAGCCTTGGGATTCCAACCCAGACAGCCTGGTTCCAGGGTTGTCTTAACCCTTGTACTCATCTCTAGGTGTTTTCTTAATGAACTTGCAGAATAAAATTCCACCATGACATCGTTTACATTTTGTTTGAAGTTTTACTGGTCTGTGAGGTCCTCAGGTCTGGAAACCACTGACCTGTTTGTCCCATTTCTGATCTTTGCATTTCCTGCTTTCAAATATGTGGGCTAATGAGTGACCAGGGAGATAAACACCCAAGGTGAGCTCCGAGGCTGCTTCCATGGACTAAGGGATGCCCACAATGAAGGAAGCTCTCACTAGTGAGCAAGCAACTAGAGTCTGGGGACCAGAAGTCCTTTTTTCCCCTGCTGGGAGGGGCTCCTACAGAGTGAATACTCCAGCTTCCCTCTGGCGAAGTCAGAAAGTCACCTTTCTGCCTCTGCCCACTTCCATGGGAAGGAGGGGCTGAGAAGGGTCTGGTGGTTCTAGATGGAACACATGCCTGTTCTGGGGTTAGCTGGTTCCTCTGCCCCTCTCTCTACTGTCTCATATTCCAGGACTGCCTTACCTGGTTAAATCACCCATGCTAGCAGAGATGCTTCATTCCTCATCAGGGTGGCAGGGAATTTATTGTAGAGGATTTGTTCCTGTTTCAACCTCGGAGTCACCAACTTCAACAACAAGGTCTTCTTCATCGACATGACTTCAGGGCAGTCTTGCTTCCCACCAAAGCTGTTTGGGCCTTGTGACTCTGTGTGTGGATGGGTATTTTTCTGTGAGAGGAAAAATCCAGAGTATCATCACCATGTCAGAGAGGCCTTCTTTAAAAAAACAAAAACAAAAAACAAACAAATAATAAAAAAAACCCCTAAAACTGGATAGTGACAGCATCTCTTTTTGAACAGCCTATAAGAGCCAGGGCTTTGCTGGTACTTGACCTTCATTAGCTCATTTCATTCTTACAATGGAACTGCGAGGTAGGTGCTAATATGACTCCCACCTACACCTGCTAAAAGTGAGGTCTAGAAAAAGTGAAGTAACCTATAAGTAACCGAAAAGTTTCTGCGTTTTCTCTTCACACCTTCCCCCCTTTTCTTTGAGGCAAATATCACATAACCTAGAAATAACCATTTTCAAGCATCCAATTCAGTGGCATTTAGTGCATTCATGGTGTTGTGCATCTGTCAGCTCTGTCTAGTTCCAAATTTTCCTCATGCCCAAAGAAGTCCCTGGATCCATCAAGCAGTCACTCCCGTTTCCCCTTCCCCCAAGCCCTGACAACCCTTAATGGTTATCAGGTTTCTGTCTCCGTGGATTTGCCTGTTCTGGATAATTTGAGTAGATGGAATGAGACACAATGGGACCCTTCTGTGTCTAGCCTCTTGCACCTAGTGTACCATTCTCAACCTTCATCCACACTGCAGCATGCTTCGGCACTTCGGGATCCCCATTGATGTCCAACAAGATTCATCACAGGGATTTACCACATGGCATTTACCCGCTCACGCACTGATGGACATTTGGGCTGTTTCCACCTTTTGGCCGTTGCGAATAGTGCTGCCGCGAATATACGTGTTCAGGTACTTGTTCCAGTGCCTGTGGTCTGCTCTTTTAGGTCTCTATCTAGGAGTGGAATTGCTGGGTTGTATGGTGATTCTTTGTTTCACTTCTTGAAGAAATGACAAACCATTACCACAGTGGCTGCAACATTATACATTCCCACCAGCAACATACAAGAGTTCCAGGCTCTCCATATCATTGCCAACACTTACTGTTTTCCTTTAAAACAAAACAACAACAACAACAAACAATTATAGTCATCCTAGTGGGTATGAAGGGGAATCTCCCTGTGATGTTGATTTGCCTTTCCCTAATGACTAATGGTGTTAGGCATGTTTTCATGTACACATTGGCCATGTGTATATTTTCTTTGGAGAAATGTCTCTTCATGTCCTTTGCTCATAAAAAAAAAAATTGTGGGGGAGTCACCTGCATACCTTAGTCGGTGGAATGTGTGACTCTTGATCTCAGGGTTGTGAGTTCAAGCCTCCTGTTGGGCGTGGAGCCTACTTAAAAAAAATACTTTTTTAGTTTTAAGTATTTCTTATAAATTCTGGATACTAGACCCTTATCACCTATATGATTTGCAGATATTTCTCCCCATTCCATAGGTTGTCTTCACTTCTTGATAGTGTCCTTTGCTGCACACAAGTTTTTAATCGGTATGACACACAGTTTATTTTTTCTTTTGTGACTTGTGCTTTTGGTTTCATATCTAAGGATCTCTTGCCATTCTAGGATCAAGAAGTTTTCCCCTGTGTTTTAGTAAATGATTTTTATAGTTTCAGTGTTTCCATTAAGGTCTTTGGTCAATTTTGAGTTCATTTTTGTATATGATATGAGGGTGGGGTCTAACGTCATTCTTAGGCATGCAGATACGCAGTTGTGCCAGCGCCTTCACTGTCCTTTTTTGGGGGTGCTTGTTTCTAGAGGCAGAGCCTAGGTTTTACTTCATTTTCTCTGCCTTCCCCAGTGCCTGGGCTGGTGCCCAGCACATTGCCGGGGGGGTGAGAGGGCTCTGGGAACTGGGCATTGACTGAACGAGTAGATGTGAGTGCCCGAGCCGTCTGTCTTATCCCAGGAGCCAGCAGGTGCACGTGAGGAGTCCAGGGGCTCAGTGACCAGGTCTTCTTCTTTGATCAACAGGTGCAGCCAGCGTCATCGTCGGCCACCCTCTAGACACGGTCAAGGTACTGCGGCCATGTTTGCCATTACCTCTTGGAAAGCGGCCTGGAGTGAGTCTGCCTCCAGCAATATGTCTGCTGTTTCTGATCCCAAGACAGTTTCCAGCCCAGGGCCAAGGCTCTGTGCCAACCCCGGAGGGTGGGGGGCCGGAGGACTGGTTTGGAATCATCCCTCTCTCCTCTCGTTACTTGGCAGCAATTTTGTTTTTGTGAATGCCGGATTTCTGCCTCCAGGTTCTCAGGGGCTGTGGGGGAGGGCCAGGCAATGGTACGGCTCCCCTGCCAGTCTCGGCAACTGAGGGGCCGGGAAAGGCTTCCAGTGTGAGGTGGCATCTGAGTCCAGAATTTAAGGTTGGGTTTCAGGTGATGAGAAAAGATGTTCCAGGCTCAGAGAGCAGCAAGAGCTAAGGCACCGAGGTGGGGACCCTGCGTGGGGGTCACGCTTGGGAAAAGCCAGCATGGCCGGTTTGGCTGATGCATCAGGTTTCAGCAGCTGTAGAGCAGAATCCAGGAAAGGTGGGTCAGCACTCAACCCTGGGAGGCCTTCACTGTCCGATTAGGACTGCGGACTTGGGTTGGGAATGGGAAGCCATTATAACTCTGGGAAGTGCAGGAGGTATGAGGACTCAACAGGGCCATCTGGCAAGGGGGGGGGGGATCATCCACGCCCCTTGTTCTACAGATGGAGAAACTGGCCCAGGGAGGGGAAGGGGCTTGCCTGAGGTCATGCCAGGTGTTAAAGCATTGAGGAGTGAGTGAGTGAGGAGCTCTACAAAAGGACATTCTTTGACTCCACGCCCATCCCCGCCCCCTGTCCCCAGGAGTGAGCAGGACTACAGAGCCATACCCTGGGAGCACTGTTGGTCGCAAATAGTGCCTTCTCACCCCTGACTTGCACATTCCTATCTAAAGCTTTGCCTGGATCGTGCACTAAGAGGAACTGCTCAGGCTTTTCCCAAGTGGCTGCTACAGTCACTTTCCCCCTGTCTTCTTCCCGGTATGACAGTGGGCCCTCCTAGGGCAGAGCCCAGGCCTGCTTTCTTCTTGATGGGGGATCAGCCTATTTGTCTTAGATAGCTTAAGATCTTTCCTGGCTCTTTGTGTCACCCATATGGGCCCTGCCTTTTGCTCATACATCAAACGCATACCAGACACTTTCTGTGTGTAGACGGTATGGGGATAGCAAGGCATCAGTAGTAGGCAAAGCAAATCCAATCCCTGCCCCTGTGGGCCTTCCAGCTATATTCCCGGCACAGGCAACCTCTGTGTCTCCCTGGTTAGAACATCCTTCCCTTCCCCCCAGCTTGGCCAGGGGCTGGTGGAGCTTGTTGGAGGTTCCCCCTCCCTGCACGGGCAGGTCTGGCTGCCTGAAAAGGCTGGAGTGCTCCTCCTGCTGTCCACTCTGCCCCTTGAGCCTCTGAGAGAGCCCTTCCTGATGCATCAAATCCAGTCTCTGCCCAGCCTGAGAAACTCCTCGCTCAGGGTACCAGCCTGGTGATGCCAGCCTTCACGGCTGGCCATGGCTCAGGGCCCTTGCTACTCCCCAAAACATGCTCCTTCCTTCCTTTCTTCTGGCTGACATTTTCTCTGGAGTCCCTACCTGAGAAAGGTCCAGGCAAGAGCTTTAGGGTCGGAATAATCTGGAGTGCGGTCTCAGCCTGCCTACCTACTCTCCTGTGACCAGGATGCAGCACTTTACCTCCCCAAGCCTTGCTCTCCTCATCTGAAAAATGGGCAAAGAGCACCTCCCAGCAGGGCTGCTCTGAAGATTGTCCCTGAGGCACTGAGCATAGAGTCATGAGTGAGCCGTTCCTATCCTGATGAACACACATGCTTGTGTGTTGTAGGTGACTTGGGACTTGTCCAAGGTCCCAGGCCTTGCCTCGTAAAGAGCCAAGCTAAAAGCACCTGGGCTGCTAACCCAGGTCAGAGGCTCCTTCCCTGCCCGTGGCTGTCCCATCACTGGTGGGAGAGCCAGCCCCTGGCTGCTTGGTGGCCGTGAAGCTGGGATCCGGATTCTCACCTGACTCTCTGCCCAGATGGTGCATTTCAGGTATATGCCTGATGCAGTGTGAGTAGGGTTTCCTGATCAGGACTCAGCTGCCTTTAGACCAGCTAGCGAACTGTAAGAGCATAGATAGGCATTGTGGTAAGCTGCTAAATTTGTCGTAATTTGTTACAGCAGCAATAGGACAACTAATACAAGAAGTCAGCTTTCTCCATCTGTAAAATGGGGACAGTATCCAGGCCCAGCGGCATTTGTGGGATTCCATGAGATAAGTTCTAGAAGAGGCCCAGTACTTCCCAAGGAAGGCAATTGCCGCACACTAAATTCCAGCCCCTGTTGTAAGGAGGCCCTGGAGGCATGTGCTGTGTGGCTGGCCTCCGTGGCAGTGTCCTCAAGTGTCCAGCATGGCTGGATGGCCGTTGCTCCATGGTTTTGGAACTCTTCTGTGATCTGGGATTGACTCCTGGGTTGAGTTTCCTCATGTACGGTTTGCTTGACTCGGGCACTGGAGTTTTTCAGTGGAACTTGATCCTTCTTGGGGCCTCAACCTGTGGATTCAGTCCCCAGAGGTAGCCCTGTCAGCGCTGGGGCCAGTGGAGAGAGCATTCACCCCCACGCCAGCCTTAAATGGGGGAAGAGAGGGAGGCCTGTGCCCATGTCCCTTCGCCTATAATCTTGTCTAGGTTGGGGATACCCCACCCCAAGGTAGAGCTCTGTGGGTCTGCTCCACCGTGAAAGCCCGCTTCTCATCCTGCTGCGCCTTCCCCTGTGTCTTCACCTCTAGGCAATTAAATACTGCAGTTTCCCTCAAGCAGCCCACACTTCTGACCCCCGGGTCTGTTTTTCCCCAAGGTACTTGTCATCATCAGACATAAATATTTGCTTGGGAATTGCCTTTTATTGACTTTTTTTTCCCCATCCCCACTTGGTTCTAAGTTCCACAAGGCCAGGAAGCTGATTTCCTCTACTGCTGAATCTCCTGAGTGGAACAGGGGTGGTTGGAAAACAGGCCTTCAATCATATAGGTTGAATGAGTCAACCATTATAGCTCTTTGATTATGAAAGTAACACTTAGAAAACATACGATACCCATATGACCTCGCTGATATGAGGAATTTTTAACCTCAGGAAACAAACTGAGGGTTGCTGGAGTGGTGGGGGGTGGGAGGGATGGGGTGCCTGGGTGACAGACATTGGGGAGGGTATGTGCTATGGTGAGCGCTGTGAAGTGTGCAAGACTGTTGAATCACAGATCTGTACTTCTGAAACAAATAATGCAACATATGTTAAGAAAAAAGAAAAAGAAGAAGATAGCAGGAGGGGAAGAATGAAGGGGAGTAAGTCGGAGGGGGAGACGAACCATGAGAGACGATGGACTCTGAGAAACAAACTGAGGGTTCTAGAGGGGAGGGGGTGGGGGATGGGTTAGCCCGGTGATGGGTATTAAGGAGGGCACGTTCTGCGTGGAGCACTGGGTGTTATGCGCAAACAATGAATCATGGAACACTACATCCAAAACTAATGATGTATGGTGATTAACATAACAATAAAAAATAAAAAAAATAGAAAACATACGATACCATTTACCTATCATGCTTGTGAGAGTGCTACAGATTTCCCATGGCTATCTGGGTCTCTAACCCTGTTGAGATGAATGCCTATGAAGCTCTTAGCCACGCTATTAGCCGAGGTGGTTAGCTTGGGGTTGGGAGTCAGGGAGGGAGAATGTGGAATTTTTTTATTCAGAAAATTTATTCTCATCTTAGTTGTGTACTTAAAATTATTTTTAAATTATGTAAATTGAAAATAATGAAAGTAACCCGTCTGTCATAGGAAAGTTGGAAATGAAACGCCATTCAGTGTAGAAAAACATCGCCCGTGATTTTCACCTCAGAGACCAACACTTTTATGATGTGTGTTCTGCCAGAGTCTTCGCTACTTGTCTACACACTGAGCTCAGGCTGTTGGTGTGATGTGTTAGTCTGCACCCTGGGTCTTAGTTCTCATGGGACCCTGGGTTCTGGGGGGTAGTGTCCAGTCACCCCTTCTGTGGTTCTCAGAGTTTCTTCTTACCAGGCTCGAGGGGGGGCCCTGGCACTTTTGTGAGGCTCCTCAGACCCTCTGTGGCTGTCTGCCCTCTGTCACCAGAGCCAGCCTCCCTTAGGGGACACCATGTCTTCCCCTCCAGCCCCTCTTTTAGCCAGTGCAAAGGGGACGTATGCCAGGGCCATGCTCAGCATGGGGACAAGAAGGAAATATGAGACAGCCCTGCCATAGAGGGGGGGCCCAAATCCAAAGTAAACAGACAGAGAGATAATGCCGTTGCAACACTGAAGCTCAGCCCCCAAAGATAAGCAGGACCTGGAGGAAGAGCCTTCTGGGGAAAGGAAGAGCCCGTGGAGAGTTCAGGCAGGAGGGGGGAGGGAGAAGGTGAGGCCAGGGACCGGGGCTTGTGCCACGCGGTAGGCACAGAGGGCAGGGGCATGCAGGGAGGGGCACACAGGGGTGAGAGGCAGGCTCAGTGTCTACCCAGGCCTCTCTGACACTGGTAGAGAGTGTGGGGTTTACTCTGAGTCTGATGGGAAGACACCAGTGAGCTGTAAAGAGCGACTCGCTGCTGTCAGAAATGATCAGTATGACTGTTGTGTAGACGCAGGCCAGGGACTGAGAGGGAAGCCGGAGGCCAGTGGTGAAACCAGCCCCCTGTCCAGGTGAGAGATGAAGGGGCTCTGGAGCCACGAAGGGAATTCTTAGGATGGCAGAGTGATGGGCAGTGGATGGGGCAGAGCCCCGGAGTAGTGCTTGTACTCAAGAGGCAGGGATCACATGTCCCCCAACAAGCATCATTTTTGAACAACAAATGGACTTTTGTTCTTCTCTCAGACCAAGAAGACTTCTGCTGCACTCAGCAAGGCCGGAATGGGACGTTGAAGGAGGCAGTGTGGGCAGCGGACAGAGCACCCGCCTGGAGGGGACAGAAACCCAGCCCTCCTTACTGGCTGGGTCACTTTGGGCAGGGCCTTCCCCTCCCTGGGCCTCAGTGCCACAAGCCTAGTATCTCTGGGGCAGTGGGGGTGTGAATCATCTCGGTCTGGGCCCTCACCTCCTTGCATCTCTCCGCAGACTCGCCTGCAGGCCGGCGTCAACTATGGGAACACCCTCAGCTGCATCCGCGCGGTGTATAGGAGGGAGAGTGTAAGTGCCTCTGGGGTGGGGGCTGGAGCAGTACCCCTCAGGGACTCCTGCAGACAGCTCGAAGCCTGCCCAGGGCCTGGGCACCGTGGCCATAGCCCCAACGCCAGCCCGTCAGGCCGGAGGCCTGTTCATTTCTGCTCATCACATTTGGCTCGGTTTTGCCTCCTTTCTCCTCATCTCACACCACACCTCAAATATTGTGTGTCACCTAAACTTAACCCTGCCATCTTGTGCACGGTTATTGGGGGAAAAAACTGATTTTGTGGAACCTCCCTGGAGAAATTCGGAGGAATTTAGAATCACAGAGTGGGAAAATTCCTGCAGAAACAAGGGGACCTGTCAGTTTTCACAGCCAGGGGCGAGGATGGTAAACCGTGTGCTCACAGGCTTCCCTTCATCTGGGGTGGCTTTGAGCCAGGCACTTGGGATTCCAGATGCCCAGAGCTGGCTTGTCCCTCAGGTTGCTGGAAACCAGGGGACTCAAGGTTTTCCTTTCCAAAGAGGAAAACCCAAATAATATTTTGTGGAAAATGTATCAGGTGCCCTTCTTAAGAATGAGCATGTGCTGTCAGAAGACTTTCTAAGGCCCTGCCTTGGGGAATTTAAAATACATTTTCTAATTAACGATGAAATGACTTGATGATTTAAAGGAATGGTCAGTAGCAGCCCTGGGCTTTCCCTTGAGTCCCTGGAAATGTGGCCCCGTTGTCGACCACCGTCTGCACAGCCTCCTAGCGGGTGCCCCGGGGGTTCAGGAGCCTCCTGCCTGCGCCTGGACTTTTTCCTCAGAGGCGTGTTTTGTGTCAGGGCGTTGCTTGACCTCTCTTGCTGGGCTGCTTTACAATGGACTGCAAACTTGGTTCAAGCTGTTCAGGGTGATGTGTGATTCCCCAGTTCCCTGAGAGGTGGCCATTGATTCTCCTTTTTGGCACACACTGTCCACAGTGCCTGCCAGCCACAGTCCCAACCCCGGGGCGTTTTGTGGGGACTGTGGGCATTCCTTGGAGACACAGCCCCTCAGGGCTAAGTGATGTCCTCACGTTATCTGAGGGAGCTTGTTTTGGAAGAAGAACCTCAGGTGGGGTGTGTGTGTGTGCATGTGTGGTATGCATGCACGTGTGTGTGAACGTGTGTGTATGTGTATCCCATCTCTGGCAAATAGGGTGCACACACCCAGGTCAGGATTAGCAGGTTTGTGTGCAGCCTGGAGTTGGGACAACAGCTTCCTGGTACTTTCTCATTTTTGGCACAGGGCTGAAAGTTAGTGCTGCCCTGACTCCTCCAAGGGCCTGTGGAATATTCCAGGTCTCAGAGGAGTGTCTGTGATGTTCCGCTGAGAGTGCAGTGTGGAAAGGACCCTCTCCTCTCAGCCTCCAGAACTCTCTGCTGTGATCTCTGCTTATGTGTAGAAGAAGCCTCTTGGTGCTGCCCTTCTGGGAGCTCCCCTTCCCTTAGACCCTCAGCACACACTTAGCACGTTGAATTTTAATCACCTGTCAGTTTATCTGCCCCCCCCCCCCCCCCCCCCCCGCCGAGTGTGGGTTCAGTGAGGGCAGTGAGTATTTCGTTCTTACATTTGTCCGCCAGGGCCTGGCACATGGCAAGCACCTTAGAGAATGCTTTTGGTTGAGTGGCAAATGAGGAGGGTGTGGGGGGTGCCCGGTAAGTCCACTACCCACGAGGGCTCCATGCAGCCTGATATCTTTCCAGCCCAACAACACTGCCACTCTGGTGGCAAAAATGGGTTCCAGGCCCAGGGCACCCTGACTCAGGAAACAAAACTGCCTAGAGAAGCGGGTTGTGCCCCAGGCCAGAGTATGCCCTGCCCGGGAATGGAGAGCAACTCCTCACCCACCTAGTCCCTGCCATCAATCACCTCAGCATCCTTTTTTATTCTTGTCGCCGACATAATGATTTATTTTTCCCGTGGTGTCACCTCACCAGCCTGCAGGCTCCAAGAGGGCAGGGTCTGGGCCTAGGGCCACGCGGGGAGCCCGGCTCCTGGCCCGCAGACAGCTCTGGGCCCTCATGCTCCTGACCCCTGGTTTTCCCGCAGGTGTTCGGCTTCTTCAAGGGCATGTCTTTTCCCCTTGCCAGCATCGCTGTCTACAACTCAGTGGTGTTTGGGGTCTTCAGTAACACGCAGAGGTTCCTCAGCCAGCACCACGCCAGGGAGTCCGAGGCCAGAGGGTCCCACAGCCTGTCGGACCTTCTCCTGGCCAGCATGGTGGCCGGTGTGGTCTCTGTCGGCCTGGGGGCGCCCGTGGACCTCATCAAGATCCGGCTGCAGATGCAAACACAGCCATTTCAGGAAGGTAAGAGTAGGGGAGGGGGCCTGGCGTCTGGGCACCTGTGGCCCTTTCCTGGTCCACCAGATCTGGGATGTGGTTGCTAATCTCATTTTCATTGAGCGGAGCATCTGCATTGTCACGTAAGAGTCTGCAGTTAGCATTCTGATCTGTAGTAGACACTGTCATTAATTATCAGTTCCGTGCCCGGCGCCTGCTTAGAGCTCTGGGTACGTTCTCTTAGTTGGTCTTCCTAACAGTTCTGTAAGGCAGGTGCTGTTAAGGTTTCCGTCTTACAGAGGAGAAAGCTGAGGCCCCCAGAGGTGAAGACACTTAGGGCCACACAGGTACTGAATGACTGGTGGGTGAGGACCAGCGACATCATTAGCAGGGTCCAGCACAGAAGGAAAACGGGGGATTCCTTGTTCAAAATTTAAGAATTTTAGAAGAGCAACCTGGAACGTTAAATCAGGCCCGGGGCCCTGAGGGACTCACAGGTCTCAAAGCCACAGCTTTCCCCATCCGCAACACCAGGGAGTGTCGCCACGAGGCCTTGCCCCTGCACCCCCCGTGGCAGGGGGCCGGGGGTCACCCTTCTTCGCCTCCTTGACGTTCTGGTTTGAGCTTCATTTCTCAGTGTGCTAGACAGCCCTCCTGCACCATTTGCCGAGTCTGTTACTTCCTCCCGCCTGAGAAAGGAGTGTCTGTGTCTTTACTGCGCTCTGGATAAAGGAGGGTGGCAAGGATGGGAAGGCATTTGCTGTGCAGAGTAGAAAATACCAGCTCTCGAGGAAAGATGAGCTCAGGTCTTAGACAGATTTCAGTATCTCCAGGTTTGGTTCTTGGCTCTGATGCCACTCTTGTCTCCTCTGGCAAGAGACTGCTCCTGCCCGGGCCGCTGTCTCCTCCCTGCATAATGGAAGGGCTGGATTTGTGGTCCTTCCCGACACCCCAGATATCTGATCTGGGCTGACAGCTCTCCTGGATAAGACCCCTCTCCCTGGCAGCCTTCTGAGTGGCCTGCATGTGAGCCCTCTGCCACAGAGGCTGGGCTCAGCTGGGCTCCACAGCCAAAGCCCCGATAGTGCACTTGGGAGCATTCCAGCCCAGCCGCTGTCCTGCACCCAGTCCCGGCGCCTTGATTCAGTCTGCACATCTTGCCCAGCCCAGGAGGTATCCAGGACAAGACTGCACATCCCCTGAGCATGATGCTGGTATCCTCACTGGGGCCCATGGAGAGCCTGGGACCAGCTGTCCTAACAAGTTGGGTCATGCCTGGGGGAGGCTCAGTGGCCCCAGGCCCCTGGTCACTGTCGGCATGTGGGGTGACACAGGACCACAGCAGTCTGGCTCATCTTGAGGGTTGCAGCCTACCCTCCTTGGGGCCGCTCAGAGAGATACAGGGCAAGGGGATCCCACCTCCATCTACTTGACATACTGAGCCCTGTCTTGGTACAGTTTAGTTTCACCAAAGGGGGGCGCCTCACAGGAATGTTTGAAGCTCGCTGATCTGGTCCTGTCCGAGACAAAAGCAAACGTGTTGAGGAAGGAAGGGCATCGTGAGCAGATTGAGAACCAGGAGGCCTGGCCCGCAGGTTGGCGTTGGGCTCTATCCCTCTCAGAAAAGCTTGTGTCAGCCACAGGAGCAGAGGAAATCTCTCTCCCTAAGTCTTCAAACCCTTTGGGTCCAGATGTTGGCAGAATTACCAGTAATGGGTCTCCTCTGCTCCTGGGGGCAGACCTGCCTCCTTTACAACTTGGGCACTTTGACCCAGGAAGGGGAGGAGGAAGGGTGAGCCGTGCATTTCTGTACTGGGCGAGGTGAGGCACAGCCAGCCTGGACGCCAAGGGAGCTGTTTCCTGGAAGAATGCCTTCCTTAGAAACACCTGGGACACTTGGAAGCAAACGAATTGATTCCATCCTCTGTCCGGTCCTCCTCCACCCCTCCCTTCCCTGCAGAGGGTGCTGGAATGGTAACTAACTCGGCAAGCCAAGGCCTGAACCACAAGGGATCCTGAGGCTAGGCAAGAAGCCTCTGGAGCTTGGAGGAAGGATGGGAGGCAGTCAAGGAATGGGCAGACCCAAGAAGGGCCCCAGAGCTGGATGTGCAGGGGAAGCCAGTTTTAGGGACCTGAGCAGCCCCCATCAGCAGCTGCTAAAGCTGCCAAGACACTCACCGTATGCCTGATACCGTGTGTGCATCATTCACTTAACACCCACCATAGTACTGTGAGGTCCGTATGGCTGCTAGCCCTGTTCATTTACCCAAAATGCTACGTATGCACCTGCTATGTTCCAGACACAGAGCTAGGAGCTAGGGACGTAGCACTGAACAAGAGTCTACATCCTACCCCTCCTGTAATGTTCTTTCCAGCAGACAGGAATTGGGCCGCTCCAAATGTGGTGGTGGGGAGGGAGCAGGACAGCCTGGGGGTCAGAAAGGGCTTTGAGGCAGGCAGTAGGAGGGTAGAGGGATCGGTGCAGATCAGGGCTGTGCACCTGGTCAGGGCCTCACTGAGGGTCATCCCTGCCTGCTCACCAGGGCGGCGAGAGCCCGAGGTGTAGCCCTCTGCGGCTTGAGGTTGTCAGCTCATTGTTGTGCCAGAAGGAAACCCGTTCTCTTTAGTCGATCCCTTGAGGCAGCGACAGAAAGTGAACATGTGTTTACTCTGTCCTTTTCAGTGTGCCAGGAAACTGGCCTTGTGTGAACCCTGGGAAGGCTCTCAATAAGAAGCCAAGGGAGGTTCCTGCAGGCCGATGTTTCTCAGCCCTGCTAAGTTCCAGGTCACTAGCCCTGGGCCTGGGGGCTTAGCAGGCAGTACAGAGACAAACACAGTTTACCTGAGCAAGTGCAGGGAGGGTAAAAACCAAGATCGGAGGGTCTGTCTGAGCCGTGCTCCTCAAGCCTCTGATCTGGGCCAAGCCAGGTCCCAGCGGGGTGGGGTGGGGGGGCAGAGTAGCCAGTATTTACTGAGCCCTTATCCTGCGCCAGGCCCTAGGCTAAGAGCTCTGCAAGTGTTTTCTCTTTCCAGCAACCCAGTTCCTAGAGGTTAAAATAGGGGAGCCTGAGGCATCAGCAGCTTCTGTATCTGGCCTTGGGTCACTCCCCTAGTAGGAGGTGGAGCTAGGATGCAGCCCCCAGGCATTCTGACTCAGGGCCCACTGAAGCTCTGTTGCTGTTTCTCCCCTGGGAATTTGTGGAAGCTGCGAAGACAGCAGCGTTGCTAACACCTGGGCCTTTGCACAGACTCATCACAAATCCAGCTTCAAACTTAAGGCTGGGAGCATGTCTCCAAAATAACATTGTTCAAATAATGGGCACAGCTCATGGATTCCCAGGGATGGGTCTGAATTCTGTGGCTTTGGGCAGCCCCTCTCTGCCTGGCCCGCCATTCCTCACCTCCCACCCCAGCTGGTTGCGGGACGGTCTTTGGTGGCTGGGCAGGATCACTACTGGGGCTGGAGCAGAGGCAGTGCTTTCTGCCAGGAATCTCACCAGGAAGGGAGGAAGGATGCGGCTTCCTTCTCCTTGTCCCTCAGACACCCCCTAGGCCAGAGATGGAAGGCTCAAAGACCCACTGGGACCAGGGAGGTAACATAAGCGAGCAGAGGTGCCTGGAAAAGGTACCCTCTTCCGTTTATCTTGACACCCACAGCCCTGCTAACCCACATTTCATTTTTCCTCTTTTGATCGAAACATGGACACAGAACGTCTTTTGCTTTCCCTATCACTCTGCTGTTAAAAAAGCAGCAGCTCCGGCCCGTGTCTGCTCTGGTGCTGGGGAGTAGTAGGGAGTAGTGGGGACTGTGGCAAGCCCACATCCTGTCCGAGGGGGTGCCTTCGACTCCGTTCCAGCTCATGTTTGCCACGTGGCCGGGATTGGAAACTGTCAGATAATTTAATTAAGAACAAAAGCAGACACAAACACCACACCGTGAAGCCCAAAGCAGTGCGTGGGGTGGGTAGTGTGGGGCTGGTCCTGGCTGTGAGCTTGTGGTCTCGGTCCTGGGTCAGGCCCCCTCTGCGGGGTGACTGTGCTGAGATGGGCATTTCCAGGCAGCCTCGGGCCAGGCATGGGGGATTGTCCATGGTTTGTGGCCTTACCCCAGAATGGCCCGACCACTTCCTGGGTGGAGGTGATGGGCTGTGAGGCACTGCCCCCGTATACTGTGCTGCGGGCTGGAGGCCTCTGGCATCTTCCTTTGGGACGTGTGACAGGGAGAATGGAGGCCACATCGAGGTAAGAGGTGAGCTTACCTGAAGGCTCACAAATATAAAGCCACTGAGCTCATCCGCACAATCTATTAGTGGTGACCAGTCTTTGAAAATGTACACAAGCTAGAACATTCAATGTGGAGGGAGAAAATGTCCATCCACCCAAATCCAGTCACTGTTAATACATTAATGTGTTTCCTTTTCCTTTTATAAATACATAGATTAAATATGTTAAGAAGTTGTACTCAGTTTCATATCCTCTTTTTAACTCAGTTTTATAACACACATCTTCCATGTTATGAAAATGGCATTTAAAATTATTAGCAATAGACGACTAATATTTAAAAATAGACGTGCGGTATTCCATCACCGTGCCCGTGTGTGCACACACGTATTGAGAGGGATGATACAGTGTGGCAAAAATTCAGTTTCTCCGAGTTAGGCTACCTGCTTCTAGTCCTCCCTCCACCACAACCCGGGAACTCTAGATAATTTGTCCCATGTCACCAAGCCTCCGTTGACTCATCAGCAAAGCTGCCATCATCACAGTAGCTACCTCATAACTGGGAGTGAGCGGGATGACAGACTGCACGTGACAGTCTGAGCATCATGCCTGGCACCCCGAACACCTAAAATAAATGTTCACTGTACTACTACACTTAGGCCGCCACCTTCCTAGTGATGGACATGGACGTTGTTGCTGGTTCGTCCTCTTTTAAACATGGTGATGTGATCGGGAAATCTGTCCGTATGGAGTTGCCTTTCTTGTAGGGTTATTCCCCTAAATGTGTGGGCTCTTTGCTTCATGAA